CCATCTGAAGAGATCCTTAAGCAAGATCGAAACACGTGTCATGGCGGCTTGCCACACCCACACCCACACTCACGCAGTGCTAAAACTACCTGAGGATTGACCCTCGAGAAAGGTCGAAACTATAGTCATAGTATTCCTTAAAATTAATACACACCGTATTGAATTTAAGAAATCTCTGCTTGCTTTACGTTTTTATATATTAAACGTCGGAAGTTCTTTTTACTTCTTAATTTCATTTATACAAAAGAATGCAGTGCTAAAAAACTACCTGAGGATTGACCCTTGAGTAAAGATCGAAACTATAGTCGTAGTATTCCTTGAAATTAATACACACCCACATCCACGCCCACACCCACACCCTAAATTGTACCCATTTCAATATTTCTACATTTCGTCAAAAAATTCGCTTTCATACGACAATGTAGAAGATATTTTAATTGATTCTCGAAATCGATTAAGATGTCTTAAGCCACCTGAAGAGATCCTTGAGCAAGGTCGAAACCGGTCGTGGTACGCTCTTCTGAATTGTATTAGTATTAAATAGATGATTTAAAAAATACAAGCGCTTTTCGGATACTCTATCACATAAGCTTATGTTGATTGGCTTCATTTTGTTTTTAGATAAATTTCAATTAATAGCCATTGTTTCCATAGGAGTACGATGACTGACAAGCGATACCCCAATGCTCAAGCGCATTGCTGGAGTCAACTTTCGGCTAGTCTAGTACGCACACCCCCCAACATCTTGCATCCTCCGTCCAAACAGCAACCACAAATAGTGACGACGAAGCAAAAAAATAAGAAAAGTCGTGGTGATCGAGCAGAACAACATTTTCAACGAAGATTGCGTCAACGAAACTTGGATGAAGAAACCAGGGCATTATTAATGCAAGCAAGAGTTGAAAGAAAACGTGAACAACAACAACAAGAAACTGTGCTTGAAACTGCAATGGAAGTAAACGAAATTGGTAATCAAATGATCAACATGGCACAGGATAAACAAATGGTGGTAAGAACATTTATCAGAAGATAAAAACTAATTATATCAATGATTTCTTTTGTTTTCTAATGATCAGGAAATTCCATCAAATGACATCATTCCTCAGTCTAATTCAAAGAAGCGTAAACGCAATGTACCGACTAAAATTGACAGACATTTAAGTAAATCATTGAGTCGATTATCGATTGCACAAGGATGTTCCAAGAAGACGAAGAAAAATGTTGCATCAAATAATGTTTTAACAAAAATGATCCATGAACTGAATGGTCAGCCAAAAAT